AGCCTGGCAGTCATTTTGTCGAAATAAAAATATATAAATGCGAAGAAATCGAGCGCGTATCTCCGATGAATAGATGGCGTTATGCAATAGTTGCTCTTAAAAATAGAACAAATGTTGATACCGAGTCCTGGCGACATTTATCAGCATATTTAAGCGAAGTCCGAAAGGAGTTCAAGGAATGTTCGCCAAATTTCATAAATTCACATTTATTGTAAATAATATATATTTAACGTTTTACTTTATTAATATAATGTATTAATATTAATAAAGTACATTTACCTATCCTACTAATCTTGTCATATTATACTCATTTACGTTTTAAAACTTACTATTTTATAATAAATGAATATTTCAAGTTTCGTATTTTCTATATATTCGTATTTTATTTCTTGTTCACAGTTGTCGACACCAGTAATAAAGAAAAAGACAAAGACATTAAGTTTTGTAAATACTGTAATTTATATACATTAAGAAATAAATATAATTACCATTTGAGAAGTAATATACATAAGGCAAATTGCTTGTTGAATACAAAATTTGATAATATAAAAGTCATTGCTTCTGCATTTAAAAATCGAATTATAACATATAGATTACAGCCTGAGAATATAGAAAAGTACTTTACTCCCGAGTCATTTCTTAAAGATAATGAAAAAGATATATTAAAGATCATTGAGCTCTCAATTACTGAACATACATGTGTGAAAGTTAATTTTGAACTCTTTGCTCTATTTTATTTACCAAGTTCTGATCAACAACAACTCAAGTCATTTAATTCAAAATTTCAAATTCTATGTCGAAATACTGATCTGAAAGAAATGTTTTCTTTAGTAATAGACTCTATGAAAATGAAAATGGCTGAATTCGAACATTGCAAGTCTGGTTGGACTTTTGGAACAATTAGTCATTTAGAAATAAACGTGAATAAATACTCGCCTATGAAGGGAAGTAGTTATATAGAACTCCCTGCGACTATTAAAAATACTAAGAGTTGTATTAATATTAAAAATGAAGACGATCACTGTTTTTTATGGAGTATAGTTGCAGCATTATATCCAGCAAAAAATAACGTATGTAGAACTAGATCTTATCCTCATTATAGTAATGTGTTCAAAATAGATGGTATGTCTTTTCCACCTACTACACATGATCTCAAAACTTTTGAAAAGCAAAATTCTAATATAAGTTTCAACATTTATGGTCTCGATAATTGTAACCAAGTAACTGGCCCGCTTTATATATGTAATTCAAGAAAAGTACACCATGTCAATATATTATACATTGAGAAATATAATAAGGGTCACTATTGCTTAATAACAGATTTGTCACGTCTTGTGCGACCACAGATTTCAAAACATAATGGCAAATTACATTTCTGTGATTCATGTCTTCAACATTTCTCGTCGAAAAAGAAATTTATGTCACACCAATGTTCTAAAGTATTAACCATATTGCCGAAAGAAAATAGCATATTACAGTTTAAAAGATATGAGCGAAAAATAAAAATAAATTTTATAATATATGCAGATTTTGAAAGTTTATTGTTGAAATGTAATAAAAATGAACAAACATGTAATACGGTTAATTTACAGTTACACGAGCCATCTTGTTTTGGTTACTATATTTGTTGCTCTCATGATTCTAAGTTAAATAAATATGTATCATATAGAGGTCCGGATTGTGTTAAAATCTTTATAGAACGTTTAATTGAAGATGTTAAAGATATTGATAAGCTATTATCTGTTAATAAACCAATGAATCCACTAACCGATAAACAAAGAAATGCTTATTTAAATGCTACAACTTGTCACATCTGTAATGAACCTTTGCTGGGAGATAAAGTTGCTGACCACGATCATATTACTTCTGAATATCGGGGTCCAGCACATTCTCACTGCAATCTCATGTTAAGAGAATATTCTTTTATACCAGTCGTATTTCATAATTTATGTGGTTATGACAGCCATCTTTTTATCAAAGAATTAGCACACCATGTGGGAGACATAAAAGTTATACCTAAAACAAAAGAAAAGTATTTAACAATAAGTAAAATAATTTATAACGAGCACACTTCTCGCAACGTTCAAATTAAATTTATAGATTCCTTTCAGTTTTTAAGTTCTAGTTTGAATGAATTAAGTAAAAATTTATCTGAAAATGAACACATTCATCTCTCAGAAGAATTCAGAAATCATATTGACTTTAACTTGTTAAAAGAGAAAGGTATATTTCCTTATGATTACGTAGATTCTTGGTGTAAATATGAAGAAAAATCTTTGCCACCAAAAGAATGTTTTTATAATAATTTAACCATGAAACATATAACTTATGACGAATATGCACGAGCACAAAAAGTATGGGATAATTTTAATATAAACACAATTGGTGAATACACAGATTTATATTTAAAAACAGATGTCCTATTATTATGTGACATTTTTGAAAACTTTAGAAATACATGCTTGGAATATTACAAATTAGATCCCGCGCATTATGTATCATCTCCTAGCTTAAGTTGGGATGCTATGTTACTGCATACAGGCGTTCGATTGGATTTAATAAGTGATTTAGAAATATATCAGTTAATAGAAAGAGGTATTCGTGGAGGGTTATCGCAATGTTCTCATCGATATGCTAAAGCTAATAACAAGTATCTACCGAATTGTGATAACTCAGAAATTTCTAAATACCTAATTTATCTTGATGCCAATAATTTATATGGATTTGCTATGATGAAAAAGCTGCCTATTTCTGAGTTCCGTTTACTATCTGAAGATGAGAAAACGAATTTTAATGTATTAAATATAACAGATGAGTCGGAATATGGCTATATTTTAGAGGTTGACTTAGATTATCCAGACCACCTCCATAATGCTCATAGTGATTTGCCATTTGCACCAGAAAAAATAATACCTCCAGGTGGTAAAACATATAAATTAATTGCTAATCTTTATAATAAAAATAAATACGTTATTCACTACGTTCATTTGAAATTATGTTTTAAAACATGGTTTGATCTTAAAAAAAATATATCGGGTACTAAGTTTTCGTCAAGAACCTTTTTTAAAGAATTACATTGATTTAAATACTCGCCTACGTCAAGCATCTAAATCAAATTTTCAGAAAGATTTGTTTAAATTACTAAATAATTCAATTTTTGGGAAAACAATTGAAAACAGAAGAAAACAAGTCGATGTAAGATTAGTATCACGTTGGGAAGATAATAATAACGTATCTAACAAACGCATTGGTGCCGCAAAATTATTGACAAAACCTAATTTTAAAAGCATATCAATCTTCGATGAAAACTTTGTTGCGATTCAATTGGAATATGAAAAAGTTCTGTTAGATAGACCCATTTACATTGGATTTACTGTTTTGGAATACGCCAAGCAACATTTATACCAATTTCATTATGACTATATTAAAGAGAAGTATCACGACTGTGCGAAACTTTGCTATACAGATACTGATAGCTTACTTTATTTGATAGAAACAGACGATATATATGCGGACATAAAAGAAAATTCTTTAAATTTTGATAAAAGTAACTTTCCAAATAATAATATATATGGCATTTCTAAAATGAATAACAAAATTCCTGGATTATTTAAAGACGAATTAGGTGGTGACGTGCTAACTGAATTCATTGGTTTGAGAGCAAAATTGTATTGTATAAACAGTATTAATACTCAAATAAAAAAAGCAAAAGGTATTTCTAGACCTATTACAAAGAAAATTACTACGACTAAATTCAAGAAAGCTTTGATGACTGATAAACGCTACAAGCAAAAAATGAATGTTATTCGGTCACTTAAACATGTTTTGTATACTCAAGAAGTTTATAAAACTGTACTTGATCGAAGTGATGACAAAAGACAGATTTTAACAGACAATATACAAACTTTACCTTGGGGGCATTGGGATAACATATTATACTGATTATGTCACTTATTTACAATAATAAGTAAAATAGTTAAATTATAATTGGTACATATTATTTGAACTATATGTAAACAGGAGTTTGAGAAGTTAATGTAGAAAATTAATAAAGATTATAAAATTCTATATGAATATTGTTTTATTTTTATTATACCCAGCTGATGCGTAAAAGCTTTGATGAATTTAAATTTAAAATTATTATTAGTGAAATTTAAAGATGAATTACTTTTTATTACATCATAAAATATAAAAGACTATTTTTATTTAAAAGTAATCAGTCAATACCATGAAGCTAATAAAGCAACCACTTTCAATAGAAATATACAATGTACAGATTTTAGAAAACAAGGATTTCGTTAAACATAGCATACTACTACCTAATTCAATACGCTGCTTAATATGCGGACCGTCTAACTGTGGTAAAACTAATGTGATGTTAAGCTTACTGCTTCATGAAAATGGTTTGAAATTTAAAAATTTATACTTATATTCTAAAACGGCATTTCAACCGAAGTATCAATTTTTAAATGAAGTTATGAAAATGATTCCTGAAATAAAGTTTTTTATTTTTAATAATGAAAAGGAAGTTATAGATCCTAATGATGTTTTGAATAATTCTATTATGATTTTTGATGATGTAGTTTGTGATAACCAAAGTAATATTCGTAATTTTTTTGCAATGGGGAGACATAAACAAGTAGACTGCTTTTATTTGTCTCAAACATATTCAAAGATTCCAAAACAGCTAGTGCGAGATAACACTAACTTTTTGATAATATTCAAGCAAGATGATATAAATCTAAAACACATATATGACGAACACGTAAATACTGATTTAACTTGGATTGAATTCAAAAATCTTTGTTCAAAAGTATGGAAAGAACCGTTTAGTTTTGTAATCATTAATAAGGATTGTGCTGTAGACAAAGGAAGATACAGAAAAGGATTTGATGTCTTTTTCAATTTTAAATAGCTATAAATATGTTTCTTGAATTTAACATGATTAGTATCATTTTTTTATTTGTAAACAGTAGTCGTTTAATTTTAAATATAGTGAAATGGAAAAAGACATAAAATCACGTTTGATTGAATCAGTCTGTTCGATAAAAAAGAAAATTAAAAATATGAAAAAAGATGAAGAACTGACTAATTTATCAGTAAACAAAATTTTAAGACCTGTTGTTGAGCCGTTGCATTCACTCCTTAAAATTGATAAACATATTCAAAATACAATATCGCAAAAAGAGGATGCTTCTAAATATGTAGGAAATGCAAGTTCAGATCATGAAAATTTATATAAAACTTCAGCTAGTTTAGATGAAATGGATCCACCAAATGTGTCTGAAACTTCTAAAAATGATGATATTATTAAAAGTCCAACTATGATAAATAAAGTTTTAGAGAGGTCGTTAAAAAAGAATGAAATTGCAGATATTTATGACAGCTTAAATGTACCATTTGGCGTACGCAGCGTAGGTAGAGATTTATTCATGGGGAATTCAAAAGTCAAATTATCCACCCTAGTTAATCCCAGCAATAATGAAAAAACTAATTTGATAAATATTGAAAATAAGCAATATGAACTGTCATCCGGTTTAAGAGAATTATTATTTTGTAAAAAACCTAATTTAACATTAGTCACAGACAAAGATCAGCTAATATATAAGGATATGTTGTATAATACATGTGCTCATAGACGAGATTACAATCCGCAGGGACAAATAAGAGGTGACAAAAGTATAAAATATCGTGACATTATAAACCTTTATTTAATGAAACTGAGCTAGAAAATAATCAAAAGTTTGGTTCTGGTATACCAAATTTAAAAAAATATGCTCGTAACACTGATTTTATTTAGTGGGATGATCCAAATGAGTTAATTGAAAGACTAAAATTGCTAGTCGCTTCTAAAGACGCAGGCAACACCAGCCATGATAATGAAATAATTTCTATTATTGAAGAATTGAAGGAAGCAGGTATAATCAAGGAATAAAAAGAAAAATATCTTATATATGTAAATCAGTATAAAGTAACAGCTTCAACATGAATGTAGATAAATTTGGGCATCATATTTTTAAGAAAAAAAGATTTTCCACTAATTTACTTCCTTTGCAGTGTATTTTAACATACACTGATGATGATAATTTCAATGCACAAAACAAAATAATCAAACATCTAAAAAATCCAGTAGATGCCACCGATAGCGCTACGAAAGAATACGTTGATAAGTCTATATCAGAATTTTTAAAAAAATTTTAAGAACAGAAATGAAGAATTCATTACTGAAATAAACAATAAAATAAGAAATTTGGAAACGAAAATTGAGTTGAAATATTCTCAAAATGAGCAAAAGAGACATAGTAAACGAAATACATAGAAACGCAAGAAAAAATTTTCCACGGAGATGTGTTGTTACTAAAGATATCGATGACCTATGGCAAGCTGATTTGATCGATATGCAAAAAATGTGCAATGAAAATCAAGGTTTCAAATATATTATGGTTGTAATTGATACATTTTCAAAATTTGCTTGGGCGTGTCCACTTAAATCTAAAAGAAAAAATGAGGTTTGTGATGCTTTTAAAAAATTTTGCAAAATGGTCGTATTCCTAAAAACCTACAAACTGATTTTGGAACAGAATTTTATAATAAAAGTTTTCAAAAATTAATGAATACCTATGCAATAAATCATTATTCTACCTACTCTTCAAAAAAGGCTTCAATCGCAGAAAGGTTTATCAGAACTTTGAAAACAAAAATGTATAAGGAATTTAGTTTTAAAGGAAATTATAAATGGGTAGATGGTACTCTTAATAAGTTAATCCAAATATATAATCGTACCAAACATAGAACAATTGAATTAAAGCCTATAGAAGTCAATAAAAATAATGTAAATTATGTAAAACAAAGATACTTTAACAAATTTAAAGAAAAACTAAATAATAATACCCAAAAAATGGATGTTGGAGACTTTGTACGTGTAAGCAAATACAAAGGAATATTTGAAAAAGGATATACTCCAAATTGGTCAACAGAAGTATTCAAGATTATAAAAATACAACCCACAAATCCAGTAACATACTTGATTGAAGATGCAAAAGGTCAGCCGATTTTGGGCGCATTTTATAGTTACGAACTACAGAAAACTAAACATCCAAATATATATTTAGTTGAGAAGGTTTTGAAAAGAAATCGAAATAAAGTTTTTGTAAAATGGTTAGGACTACCATCAAGTGAAAACAGCTGGATACATAATTCTAATATTTTATGATAGCTTTCAAATGAGTTTTAATGAGTAATGAGTGATAATTTTGTAATGTTAAAAATGAATAAAGTACTTAAAGTAAATCCATCTTTATTTTATTTAGTATCCTTCATAGTATGAGTGAATGCAGTCTTCTAAATTGGTTAATTAATCACTTACCGTTTGAACTTCATTTACCTGGATATAATTATTGGGGGTCCTGGAACCAAATTAATTCAAAGACTTAGCAGAGGAGATAAGGGTATTAACCAATTGGATGAACATTGCAGAGAACACGATATTGCTTATCATACTTTTCATCTTTTAAGCGATCGGCGAAAGCAGATATTAAATTGATGAAAATGGCGAAAAAGCGTGCTACTGCCTCGGATGCATCTCTATGTGAAAAAGTTGCAGCTAACTTAGTAAAAAATACTATGTTAGCTAAGGCTAGCATTGGAGCTGGTTTAAAGGCAAAAAACATATCGATAAAAAAGAGACAAAGCTCAGGTTTGAAAAAAAAAATGTTTCAACATGTGGTTTCCCATACTAAAAAATACTTACAAAAAATCAAACCTCAATGTGAAAAAACCGCAATTAATTTAGCAATGGCAGCTGCGAAGAACTTTGTTACAAATTCTGTTATAAAACATCCGCGCATAATACCTGTACCAAAAACTGGTGGTATACTTCCGTTAATACCTATTTTTGCGGGGTTGTCAGCAACAGGAAGCTTAGCAGGTGGAGCTGCTGCAATAGCTAAAGCTATAAATGACTACAAACTTGCTAAGAAACGTTTATCAGAACTGAAAAGACATAATGAAAAAATGGAATCTCTTTCAATTGGAAAAGGGTTACATGTTAAACCCCATAACGGTGGTCTTGGAATTTTTACAACTTGTAAAAAAAACTAAATCGGCTACCCAATAGAGCTCTTACTAACATCGATATTTTAAAATATGCGATTAAAATACCACATTTTCGAGGTGTTTTTATGAGAAATGAATTACCAAAATGTCCTCTTAAAAGAGAATGTGGTGTTATTAATTTAGATCACTCAGAAAATTCTGGAACTCATTGGGTAGCTTATGTTAAATGTCAAGATTATATAGAATACTTTGATAGCTATGGAAATTTAAAACCACCAAAAGAGCTGATCCAATACTTAGGAAAAAAAGTATATTATAATTACGAAAATATTCAACAAGATCATCCTTATAACTGCGGTCATTTATGTATAAAGTTTCTTGAGAATTTTTGGCGTAATAAACTAAAAAAATGAATAAATAATACCCAAATACATTATTACCTTTAGTATTCAACCATGTCTATTACTTTAACCATCACTGGTAATCAATCATTCCTTGAATCATATTTTCAGCCATCTTTAAGTATAGATGGCAAATATGAGTGTGGTTTACTATATTTTTCTGTATTTAATACAGTAAGAAATATAGATGAAAATAATAACATATTTTCTTACGGTAATGACGGTAAAATATTGCATATACCATATGGTAATTACGATTTGTATGATATACTTGCATATTTAGAAAAAAATTTAAAAGATTGTGAGATTAAAATTCAACCCAATAATAATACCTTAAAATGTTCCATATATTGCTCTGAAACACTTAACTTTAATGTTAAAAACAGTTTAGGACCTGTCCTTGGTTTTCGTAATATAAAATTAGATGCAAACAAATGGCATGAATCCGAAAATCCAGTCAGAATTCTACCGTTGTCTCTTATAAGAATCGAGTGTGATCTTGTTAAAGAATCATTTGTTAACGGCTTACCATCGCATGTACTATACGAATTTGTGCCTGATATACCGCCTGGTTATCGATACATAGAGGTACCCAAAAATATAATTTATTTACCAATAAACAAAAAAAAACATAACATCTATAGCTATAAAAGTTGTTGATGAAGACGGTAATAATATTGACTTCAGAGGAGAAAATATTCAACTGCGCCTCCATTTAAGAAAAATAAAATGATTGTATTTTATAAACCTCTTAATAATAATGCTAAAAGCATTGATACTTGTATTGCTAAAAAGCGCAGACGTGTTAAAGGTGTTAAGAAAATAACAAAACAGAACAAAGAATTTCTTCGATCACTTGGTTTTAAAATATGAATATACTTCAAGTTACAAGTTTACCTCAGTTCGATAACTCAATTGAAAATTACGAAATACACACCTATAATCCATATAATAATAGTTTCGCGGAAAATGACGAAATACGAATCCCCATTCATCAGCAAGATTTGTATCTATTGCCTTCAGCCAGTACCATCTACATCGAAGGATATGCAACCATCATCGGAAAGGACAACAAGTCGGTCAAAGACATGTGGAATTTACTAATAACCCTTTTATGTTTCTGTTCCAAGACATCAGGTATGAAATAAATGGGATTGAAATCGATCGCATAAAAAACGCTGGAGTAACGACCACAATGAAATCATTGGTATCAATGAGCGGAGGGGAAAGTAAGGTTGCAGCTCTGTGGGGTTGGAACATAAATGGATTTACAAACGATGGTCATTTCAGCGTTGTTATACCCTTAAACAAAATACTTGGATTTGCAGAAGATTATAACAAAATAATTATGAACTGTAAACATGAACTAATACTGAACAGGAGCAACACAAACCTAAACAGTATCAAACTTTCAGATGATTTTTCTCATGTAAAAATAGACTTACAAAGAGTGCAGTGGCGAATGCCTCACGTAAAAGTATCAGATCGCGAGAAACTTACATTACTCAAATATTTAGAAAAAGATAAACCAATTCAAATTGCTTTTAGAAATTGGGATCTGTATGAGTATCCGTTGTTACCTAAAACAACAAAACATTCTTGGTCTGTTAAAACGGCTTCACAGACAGAGAAACCACGATATGTTATCTTTGGTCTGCAAACTGATAGAAAGTTTAATAAAGCAAAAGATTGTTCTGTATTCGATCATTGCAAAATATCTAGAGTAACATTATTTTTGAACTCCAATTACTATCCATACGAATCACTGAACTTAAACTTTGATGAAGATAAATATGGTATATTATACGAAATGTACACTCAATTTCGTCAGTCTTATTACAACATTCATATGGACCCCCTGTTAGATCTGCATACTTTTAAAGAAAAGGCGCCATTGTTTATCATTGATTGCTCGAGACAGAACGAGACTTTGAAAACTGGACCAGTCGATGTGCGATTAGAAATTGAAAGTACTGAAGATATTCCAGCAAGTACGTCTGCATATTGTCTCATTATAAATGACCGTCTTATAGAGTATAAACCTTTAAGTAATATCGTACGCAAGATATCATGATTGCCATAGTAGACGTTCAAGGTTTTAAGATTGATAATAATAATTTTATCTTAAAAGAATTTGCGGTTGCATATGATAATAGAATTCAAGTTCTGCTTTATAAGCAACCGTACCCATTCTATGATTTGACACCAACGGAACGAAGACAAGTAAGCTGGATTGAAAGAAATAGAGGAATATTTTGGAAAGAAGGTCA